TATATCGACAGTTATTACAGCATAACTTTTTATACGTTACAAATGTTTGAATTTTGTTTTTTTTTGTATTGAATTTAGTATTAAAGCGTCTTTAAAAGGACACAAAAAACTTGGCATTTTGTGAAATGTAAAATTTTCTATAAACATACAAACTTTAAAAACCTAACAATTTAAAAAAGTGTCCACTGTTTTGGCCACCACTGTATATGATTATCTACCACTAAATATTTTCTACTTGACAGTTGTTTTAATCTAACTTTGTGTAACCTTACTTTAAAACAGCGTTTCTTAAACTGTGTGTGTGTGTGGGGGGGCGTGACAACCTTACAAGGGAGGCGTGAGCATATCGAAAATTAGAGGTTAAAAAAATAATTTACTGGAATGAAGTAAACAAAATACTTTCTGCCATAATAAAAAATACACATTTACAATGATATAATATACTTATGGTGTTCCCTATAATTATTACTATTTAATAAAACACTCTTGGATTGAAATTCAACTTTTTTTAATTATAGCAAAAATATTTTGATATTATTTTCAATATAAATTGTATACGTTGTTATTATTCATAATATTTTTTTAAAAAAGAAGGAAATTTAGTGCTATTTAATATTTATTTTTCAGAAATATTCATGTAATACTCATTCAAATGTATCCTGTATTTAAAATTGATGTGGTTAAATTTTAATTCAATATTTTATACATATAGGTAGGCCCTCACATGTAGACAAAAATAAATTTGCTTTTGTATTTATTATATTATACAGTTTTTTTATTGAGAAGTAATGAGCAAGTTAGCACTCAATCTTTTGCCTTCAAATTATGTTTATGTTTTGTCCATGACATTGAATGAAAGGACTCAGGTAAAATAATCCTGTGAATACATTAATTTATATATATATATATATATATATATAAATAAAATCTTTTTAAAAACAATATATAATATTAATCGGGGAGCAAAATTTGTTTAATGTGCAAAGTTTTCCTCAGAGTATAACCGGGTTGGTAAATATATAATTGCTCAGGCTCTTTATCTTTATTACCATAAAATCAGGTTTATAGCGCGCACCGATATATAATGCTTGCATATACTTTCAAGTTGCAATTTTTTTTAATTTTAGGTATATCCGCGGTATAACGCGCGTCCTCTTTTTTACGAAAGAGCCAGAAATTCTTTTATGCAATGATATTATGTTCTGAAGTCAATTATTCGAGATATTATCTCATGACTTCTAAAAAAAGGTATACTGAGAGAACTACGACTCTTTAAGGTATCCGACTACGTTCGGAGACTTTTTTTTTAAGTTTTCAAAAAATCCCTAATATTTTTACATTTTTAGTTTCACTTTTATACACAATAAATAAAAGTACAGTTAGAAATAATATATGTACATAAAAATTTGCAAAAATTAAAATTTTTAAAGAAATTTTAATCAAATTTTGGAATTTTTTCAAACACTCTATTTTTTAAAATATTTTATATTTTTCATAAAATATTGCTGCAATATATTTTTAAAACATATTTCTAGAGAATGACCTCAAGTGTTAAATTTTTTTTGAATCAAAAGTTATGGCCAGTCGAGCTTGCGAACTAGGAAATTCAATCAAATTATCGTAACTTTCAGAAAGAAATAGAACTATAAAACAACTAAAATTGTTCAATTTCTTAGCTCGTAATTCTCTGGATACCATCCAATAATAACATTTTGTGTAAAATTTCATACAAGTATCTCTAATAGTTTTTAGATATCATGTTTGAAATATCATGATTTGGTTTTGAGAAAAATGCATTTAAACTTTATAAAATCAATTTCAAAACAAAATATGACAAGTATATTACTAAAACTCTCCCTGATTTATAATTAACACTCCCACTCTTTGATTTGTTATTTTTTTTCTTTGGGCCTCCTTTTTTTTTTTTTCTGGATGGTTTTAAAAAAGGCAAAGAATGTTGTTTCGAGTCACCGACTCGAAAGATGTCAACAAATCTCTCATCACGCAGTATATAATTCCCTGCATTTATGCCAAAATGCTTTCAAAATACCTAACACATCAATGAAATCTTTTTAAAAATAATGACGGTAATATATGGGTACCCAAAGAAAATGCTTTTAGCTCGATAAAAGTTTCTTTCAAAATGATTTGCCACAAACAGGCGTTAAATGATACATTTTTATTTGTGTCTTACCGTGGAGGCAATTTTATAATAACTGCTTATCACTTTTGTGTACACAGGTTTAACAATATTTTAAAGTTTCACAGAAATACATACAATTTTTTTTTCTGTTTATTGTTTTCTGGTGTCATTTCCTCGTTGATAGTCACACCAGTTCTCAGCTCAAATCGGGCACGGCCCATATATGGGTTTCTCCCTGCTGGAGCAACAGTGAAAAAAAAATACTGCTATTGTAGCACTTAGCATAGCTTTGGCGTGATTGATGTTAGTGCTAAAACAGTGTAGAATTTTATTAAACATAACATTGATGAGTTTTTTCCTTCTCACCGAGATTTATCTCTTTTTTTTTAAAAAATTTCTTTTCCGACTACTCAATCTTTCTTAGAAGTATCTTATGCACTCATATGATGACATTGTTGACACCATACAGATATTTAACGAAAGATCCTTGAATCCCCATCACAAAAAGAAATACATATTTTTAAGATTTCGTAGTGCAAAAAAACATACAAAGATTTTGTACGCACTATGTTTTGAAGTAAATCCCAGATGATTGCAGGAACACGCATGTATGACTGGACTTATAGAATTCTAAAAAACTTTGATAACATTTCCAAATCTAGAATTTTCCAGTGTCAATGTATAAAGTTTCTATAGAAACCACATTTAGCGATGAATGCCATGTTTCTCTGCAGTCAACGGATATTCCCACATCCTTCAACTGACATTTTTGTTTTATAATGCTTTTCGCTTAAAAAGCAGTGTCGTCCATAGCATCTTTAACCGTTGGTGTAGCAGCACAGACAAGATTTTCTTTCACAAAGTCTAAGTACTCTTTTGTCATAGAAGGCCAGTTCAGCTTAGCACATAGCTTTTTCACAGATAAATGTCATCTTTCAATCACTCACCTTCCACAAATAAGTTGCAAATTAAGAACACTTTGCTTTTTTAGCTTTTCAGTAGCTGAAAAAAGGACAATAAAACTTTAATCGGAGCATTTTTGAAGTCATTAGAAGTCACTCCAAACATGTAATCTTCATGCAGATATTGTTCTCAAACAATTGGGAGAAACACAAACTTGAAAACACACTTCCCAATTTAAATAAAATTCTATTACCTCTTAATGTTCCACTAAAACATTCTTTGTTCTGTGAAAATACCTTTACTTATCCCAGTTTTCGTTCATTACAAGTTTGAGCACTTCAAGTAAAGAACATTACAAGTCAACATTTCCACTGTTTTTGTAAATGTCTCACCAGCATAGTTGCGTTTTCAAGTGGTTAATTTGATTCCATTTTTAACCCTTATAAGTAGATAATATCAAAAGCAGAATGTTCATAAACAATTAACAATTAAAAATTGTACAATTAAAGCAAAAAAAATCAGGTTTTTGAAGAAATTTGCGAGCAACATTCGAAAGATTCAAATCAAAACAAAAACATATGAGGCCAGAAGAAACAGATGTTGCCAATCGCAAAAGTCCAATTAAAAGATTGAAATTGTTGCCTATCAATAAAATAGTTTTACAAAATGTCAGAAATTGTTTTAAAAATTATAATGGGTTGAAATTGCAAAAATTATGGGTAAAAAGCATGTTAAGCAGTCAACTTCCGGTTTCGATTTCACCTCTTCCGGTTTATATTTCACCGCTGTAATAATATTTTAAACACCTGTAACTTTTTTTCTAAATATCACACAGACAAAACAAAGGCAGATTTAGAAAGATAATTGTTTGAATTTTAAAAATATCAAATAAAAAGAAAATGTGATGTTTGACAGAAAATGACGTTTTCAACGCAGTCGGATTAGTCCGTTAGAGGTATGTCATTTCTTTAAATAAACTGCATCCGATTTATGTAGAGGTCTAATTTTTTTTAATGCTCATATCTTTATTTTTGAAGCTATTATTTTTATAATTGGTGTAATACGCACACTAGTAAATTTCGATTTTATTCTTTAAATTTTTTTTAATTTTTCGATTTTATTTAAAGTGCGCGTTATACACCGGATTTTCTGGTATTTACTTCTTTTAGGCTGGGAGAATTAGCGAAGAGAACAATTTTGATCAAGTGTAGACATTGGAGTAATGAGTAAGAGACACCGAAGGACCAGAAGCTGAAACACAAAGGCTTTTCAGATAAAAGTAAGCAAAGAGAAGTAAACGGATGATAAACAGCAAATTTGATTATCCTTTGTCGACCACGGTAGCGCTGTGGTTATGGTAACTGACTTGTGGTAGGCGTATCATGAGTTCAAACCTAGTACCACTGAAGACCAGACGTGCAGAGGGGCTAGATGTACGTTAAATATTTCGAGATTCAAACGTCCTTGAGTTGGTGTGGTGCGGAAGTTGGGAGATGGGATAGGCCAGTTCAGGTATTACCCTCGTCACTTGATCAAGGTTGAAAATTGCGATGTCCGTCATAAATATCCGTCGTGCAGCTCTATAGGTCGACGTAAATATAACTTTCATTTTCTTGACACTGTCGAACTGGAAATCAATAAATAATGTATAAAAATAATAATAAATAACTTAATTTCTATTTATAGGTCAACAAATAAAATTTTTATTTTAGTTATTTTACATTAAATAGTTACAATTAACGCACCCCCCCACACATATATACACACATATGGCAGAATCACAATATTAAGTAACATAATAGAGAAAGCAATTTTCCTTGCACTTTTCCATTTTCCTTTCTAAATATGGTTTTGAAGTGTTACTTTTGTTTGCTACTATTTGTTTATTTATGAAATTTAATTATACCAACGAAACAGTACAGTAGAAAAGAAGTCAAATTCTCAGAAATTAGGCCATCCTAGGTGGAATTCAAACCCACGACCTTTCGATTAGAAGTCGAACGCGCGTATCCCTTGTGCTACAGGGTTACAGCGAACGATTTTACTTTCTATATATGCTGTTGGAATATAATTTTTGATTGTTATCATTATTCATTCATTTTTTAAAAATTTAATTAATGAATAATTATTTGAAAAAAAAAACTGTATTAACATCAAGTGTCATCTACTACAAGTTTACAAACTGTATTTGAACTTGAATGGATGAATAAAAAGTATTTAATTATAGATTGAAAAATTGAACAATATATATATATATATATATATATATATATATATATATATATACCTATAGGGAGAGAGTGAAATAATACTAGTAGGAATTGATAAAGCCAGTCAAGAAATTAAAGAAGAAAACAATACAAGAGGGAAATTTATAAAAAGCTGTGAAGTCAGTGGATACGTTTTAACAGTGCCCTGGTAAAAAGGACTTGGATGGCAAAATTCAAATTGCCATCCAAGTGTTTTGTACTTTACAACAAGAAGCTTTGGAAGTGAATTTGTCTAAGGCAGTGTTTCTCAAACCTTCAATACTGGAGACCCAATTTTCAATCATAATTTTTGTCGCCCCCCTGTACAACAATAATGTATTTACTGCAATAAAAATGCCCTTTGAGAGAGAGACGCTAAAGTTACAATACGATCTTAATTATAAACCGTACAAATTAATAAGATAAGTATATTAAATTTTTTGTATATGTAAATTTAAGTAATGTATATTTTAAGAAAATTATTTAAAATATATATTACTTACTTATTATTATGTTATATTTCATTCTCTAATTTTTTAATTGGAACAGATCGTAAAATGATATATTTAATTAAAGATTTATTTCCTTCAGCATTCATTTCTCAAAGTACAAATGTCATTAGAAAAATAGTCTAGTCAAAATGTTGCTCTCTATCATATTCATCACATCAGGAATTATAGGTTGCGTGAGTCTGGGCAACCTATCGGATGTCTGCGCAAAACAGGTAAAAATGCTTTTCATCGTACAATTCCAGTCAGTTTTGGTTGACTCGATACTCCTATAGCTACCGAATCTAGCTTGAATGTACATTTTTTTTTAATTTACGCGTTAATTGTAATTCACGGTAATTAAGTATTTACGGCAGTAGATTAAAACAATATCATACATACATTTTTAAGTCATAAGCAAACATTCGATGGTAATAAAGAATCAACAAGTACACAGACGAACGAGCATGGTTCCGAAAATTAAATCAAGGTAATATTCTCAAAAATACTTCAATTTTGGATTTACCTCTGCTGAAGTAAATGATGGCAAAAATGTAAATGTGTTAAAACTTACAAATCTGCAGAACAACATGTGAAAGTTGTTTTTAAAACATGTAAAATCATTTAGCTATGTTGACAAAGAATTTTAAAACGCATTTTCTGGATGAGGACAGCTTGGTAGCAAGTTTCGAGGGGATTAGGGATAGATACCAAGATACTCCAGAAGGGCTCTCAACTTCCGAAGAAGAAATCTTCATAGATTTCACATCCAGTGAAAAATTAAAAGGCAATTTTGTAATAAATCTCTCTTTGAATTTTGGGTAGAGGTGGATGAGGAATTATCTGTACTGAAAACAAAAGCACTTCGTATACTATTACCATTTTCAACATCCTACCTTTGTTAAACCGGATTTTCTGCGGTGATGCTTTGAAGACAAAATATAGATCTCAGCTAAATATAGAAAAATAACTCAGGGTGTCAGTTTCTGATATTAAACCTTCCTCTACAAGACAAGCCCGTGGAAGTCCCTAATAATTATTAAAATTGTTCTTAATTTAGTAATAAGATTGATTGATTGATTGATTGAATATTAACTTCACACTGTTCAGCTGCACGAGGGCTTTTGACAATGGATCACATAATTTTGAACCATGGTCAAGTGACGTGGACGACACCTGAGGTGGCATCCCTCTCTCCTAACTACCACACCACACCAACGGGAGGTCGTTTCAGCTCTCGACAGATTTAACGTGCATCGCTGCCCTACACGACGGGTCTTTAGTGGTACTGGGCTCGAACTCGTGAAAAGGCGTGCCACGACCCAATACCTATACCACTCGGCTACCGCAGCCAAGTTTTGTAATAAGAATTTATTTATAAAATACCTTCTTCAGTACTGATACATTAAACGTATACTGGCTGAAACACAGTCTCTTCGCACGAGTTAATTTTTTAAAAAAATAAAACATTATTCTTGATACAATAGCTGAACTGTAAGGAGAGTAAAACTGCGTGCACGACATTGTATACGAAAAGGTAAAATGATTTTTTTAGATAAATGCTACGATTGTAAATAACTGTTTAAAGGAACTGCAATTTTAAACCTCACAGAATTAGCATTTAGAATTAATGTTAAATAATGAAAAAAATATAAAATTCCGATGAAGAATAATTGTGTTTCTTTTTAACATTTAAAGCGAGAAGACTTCAAAATGTTTTAACCCGGGAGCAGGCGTATACTCGATACTAACGCTAATGGTAGTGCGGGGGGACTCAGTCACCCCACTAATTTGTTTATAATTATTTTTACTGTACACGATACAAATAGGAATTCTAGTGAATATTTTAATTTATAGAAAGTATACTTATCTTCTTTCAAGGACTATTCAATTATTTGATGATTTGAGAAAAAATCCAATAAAACTGAACTAAAATGATTCAAAAGTACAAGACCATAATAAAGAACGCAAATCAGACACTTTTCACTAATATTACAGAAATATTAAATCATTTAATTATTTTCCAAATATCGTAAAACTCTATTATTTACAATTTCCATAAGCGAAAAGCAAACGCATAAAAGATGGGACGAAACTAATATTGAATAACCATACCATAAGATTGAAGGTCAATCAAATGATTAGCAAACGTACTATGCAACCTGTCTGAAAAGTGATTCATGTATTCATTTTTTTAACAACTAATGTACAGTATTTCAATTATAATTACAGTGATGAATTGTTTATCTTCTTAGAATTTTTCTCAGGGTCTGTGTTTCGTTTTTTCTTTCAATGAGTAATATTTTATGTTAAAACTTAATAAAAAAATCTCTCATTGAGGAAATACACCAAATTAAACAAAATGTTTTTTTTTCCTTTAATTAGGTTTTGGGATCAAAGATAGCCATTTGATGACGGAAAAAAGCCAGATAATAAACATAAATTATGTCAGTGTTTTTGTGTGTATTTTTTTTATTATGGAAGAAAGCATTTTGTTTTACTTCTCTTTCCGGTTATTTTTTTTTTAAAAAAATCTTTAAATTTTCGATATGCTCGCGCCCCCAGGGGGGCGCGCCCCATACTTTCAGAAACACTGGTCTAAGGGGAAGGTAATAACAAATTAATAAACTTCTAGCATAGTAAGAGAGATTCTGTATCATGGAAAGAGCTGTTGCATCCTACATTGACAAGCATTTATTTAATAGTAATACTGTATTACACATTTACATCAAATTTTCCTGAGTAAGTGAATCACACACAAATGTGTATACAAAGCTTTCTAAATAAAAAGAAATAATATGTGAGTTATAAATAATAACTTTTAATTATATAAATACATTTTCATTTATGTTATTTTTGATAATAGGTGTTGATGTCTTTCAAATGGTTTTATTTTAACAATATTTATAAAACAATATCGCTAACATTGAGCGAATGGCCCGCACAGCCTCTTTCAATTTCTTGTTTTTACAATATCATAAAACACTATATATAAAAAAGTATCGCTAACATAGAGCGAATGGCCAGTGTACAGCCTCCTTCCAATCGTTCTTTTTTTACTTCTCCCGCGTAAAACAATAGTACACACCTTATAATTTAAATAGCGTCATCTAGTGGCGTACATGGACCTTAACATACTCCCCCCCCTCAAGAAGTTATTCTTGATGTAGAGGAAGTTTACAAAGCTTATGAATTGGTCTTTTAAATCGACCTTTAACAGTTCTAAGAGTTACTACTCTTACCACACCATCCTTACCTGGATGCGTTTTAATTACTTTACCTAAAGGTCAGGTTGGTGGAGGAATATTATCTTCCTTAATAATTACAATTTCTCCAACCTTAAAATGATTGTTAGGAGATTTCCTTTTAGTTCTGTTTTGCAAATTACTCAGATAATATCAATTTTCCATTTTCTCCAAAAACGTAACTTCATTTTTTGGACAATATCCCAACGGGAGCGAAGAGAAAGTTTATCATCATTGGTATGCTCAGGGGAATAGGTAATGAAGCCTCACCTATGAGAAAATGAGAAGGAGTTAAAATATTTAAACTGTCTGGATCATTGTCACATTCAAAGACTAGAGGTCTTGAGTTCAGAATTGCCTCTACTTGTGTTAACAAAAGCTGAACTCCTCAAAGGTTAAATTTGTGTTTCCAATGACTCTTTTAAATGGTACTTAATACTCTTAACTCAGTTTCCCATAATCCTCCAAAATGTGGACTCACTGGAGGGCTAAAAATGCCACTCTATATTCACTTGAGATAGAAAATAGCAAAAGTGTTCATTTTCATTAAGTTTTGATGCAAATTTAAATATTTCTTGCAATTTTCTTCTGGCACCAACAAAGTGGTAATTTTTCCATTATCACAATAAATGTGCTTAGGTGCTCCTCTTCTAGCACAAAAGCGTTTCAAGGAGGCAATAAAAGCCTCAGAAGTGAATCACTCACTAGTTCTAAATGTAGAGCTTTTGTAACAAAACATACAAAAGGAGCTATATATCCCTTAGTAGTCTTTGCTCCTCTACCTCTATATCTTAAAAAATATTGATAGGGCCAGCATAATCTACTCCACAAACAGAAAAATAGCCTACTGGGGTAACCCTATGAGTTGGTAGATCACCCACCAATTGCTTGGATGTAGTTGCTCGATACCTACAACATACTATACACATTTATGAATACATTTTTTACAATATTTTTAAACCAATAATCAATAAGTTTGCTTAATGATACCTAATAATATAGTACATCAGCATGCAATTATAAAATATGATACATATTTACAATTA